TCCATTTCTATTTTCATGGCTAGCCTCTATTTTTCATTGGATGATGCTTCGGATAATGTAGTTGGGATAAAAATAGTGTTTAGGCTCACAATGAAGTCTCTTCTTGAAGATAAGGTTAAGTAAAAAATGGTTTACTTTCTTTAAAAGTGACATCTATAAATACAAAATTTTTTGATAGAAGGATGATAAATCTTATACCTTTTTCAAATTGATGAATACCCTATAAAAATACACTTAATTGCTCTTAGATCTAACTTCCACTTATTATGACAGTGAACATAAACAAAAGATGTACAACCAAATATCCTAAGTGTGAGGTTGTTTGTGGTATTAAAGTTGGGATAGAATTGTGAAAGTAGTTTCATAGGAGTTTTAAATCCCAAAACTCTTAAAGATAACCTATTTATAATATACGTGACAGTGAAAACAACTTGCCTACAGTAGGATTTGGATACGTTTGCTTGAAAAAGTAAGGCTCGAGTTGTAGCTAGTAAATGATTTTTCTCTTTTTTGTCACTCTATTCCTCTGTGGAGTATTAACACAAGGGACTCCTGAATAATCCCTTATTTTTAGAAATAGGTAGATAGACTCTGGTTGAAATAGCCTTTTACATTATCAAACCTAAATCTCTTTATTTTCACTTCAAATTGATTTTGGATCATGTTTTAGAAGCTTAAAAACACATTATTCACATATGATTTGAATTTAAATAAAAAAAATCCAAGAGACCTTGGTACAATTATCTATTAATGAAACAACCATCTTGTACTAGAAATGTTATGAATTGTAAAGGGACCCTAAATGTCATTATGAATTAAGTAAAAAAGAGTAGAATTTCTTTTATTGCTAACTATAAAAGATACATGTCTATACTTTATAAGTTCACAAATATCATAATGAAAATTTTCAACATTTAATCCTTTAAAAAAAAGGAAACATAATTTTTTGAAATTCTAAAAGAAAGATGTTCAAAACAGAAATGATAAAGCTAGATTTTATTTTTATTGGGATATTTTTCTTAAAGAAATGACAAAGGTAAACTATTTTTTATATTACTTGCATTGTTTGATGTCTCAAGACAGTATAATCCATTCTTTTTCTTAGCGAATCTAATCCTCTTCCCCTAACCCTGGTTCTAAAATTTATAATAGGAAGAATAAAAAGTCATATTGTAGTTTATGTCTCTAATAAATTTTATATAGATATCAGATTAGTAGACAATCTAGGAACATGAAAAATATTTTTAAGAACAAATAAGGGATTAATTTGAACATCTCTAATCCTGCCACTATAATAAGTGACCATCTGTAACAACAATTTTCTTATTACCAAAGCATAAGGTATAAGTACTAAACTTCTGTGACGAATATGTCATGTGGTTTATTGCTCCTGAGTTAATGACCCAATAACTCATAAGAGACTTATTTAAGACATTTAATCCATGAGAACTAGAGATTTTACCTCAATTAGAACCTTATTTAAGTGTGCCAAGGAGCATACATTGGTAGGCTTTTCAAGGGTTTCAAAAAGCTCTTTGTTCTATCCAACTCTTTTTGTTTCTGAGACTTTTCTTAGTTTGGCTCTATTACAATCATGTGTGCTTCTCTTTGATTTCTTGGCTGTCCTCCTTTATAAACCTATTTTTTGCTTGAAGTTGAAGGCTTTCCATTTAGTTTCCAACAACGATTATTGGTGCACTTTAGCTTCTTGTAGTAGGTGCACTAAAGATTGTTACGAATTGAAGTTTTAGCCAAATCACCTTTCCTTTTCTCACTGATTGGTAATTGTTCTAAGCTATAGTTGTTCACACCATTAGACATCATAACAAATCCTTCTACATACAAGCCATTAAGCATCACTCCTCTTATGTTCTCTTCTGCTCTAACCATGGAGATCACCTCATTTAAAGAAGCTAGATCCTCTTTTCCCAAAATTTGGACTTTAACTTGATCAAACTCATCATTAAGTCCAGCAAGAAAATCATAGACTTGATCTTTTTCAATGTACTTTTTTAAAGTTGTTGCATCTTAACTCACTTTATCTCTATGCATTGGTAGTGGTCCATCTTTTGCCAAAATTTTTTTAAAAGAATAACATACTCTATGATTGACTTATTTCTTTTTTTGAGAGTTGTAGTCTTGATTTTTATCTCACAGAATTTAGTAGCATCCTAACTTTAGAAAAGTTTGCCGAATTGACTCTCAAGTGTCTTTGGTTGTGGACAAAAACATGCAAATGTCAATAATATCTAGTGTCATAGAATTCCACAACCATGACATAACCATGGAATCCTCTTCATTTTGAGCCTTAAATGTTGGATCTCCTTTCTTAAAATCGGTACCAAAAAGATGGCTTAATTTTCCTTTCCTTTTTAGAAATGTTTGAACTAACTAAGACCACTTCAAGTAGTTCTTTCCATTCAACTTTTATCCAACTTGGATATTTTGTACTTCTCTTATGGTTTGACCAGTTGTCATTTCCTCAAATAGAGTAGTAATGACAAATTCTACTATTTCTAATGTGGTTATCTTTATCAGGACTAAAACAAGACTTGGTAGTAAAGATTTAATTAGAGATGATTCTAGGCAATGAAAGCCAAATAAGGAAAAAATATAAGACTATTAAAGATTTAAATAAAATTTGGCTATGAAAGCCTAAAATAAAATTTAGTAATGAAGGCTGAAAAAATTTTCTTCCCAAGAAATGTCTAATGTTCTGATAACATGTGGAAAAAACTAGGTATATATATATAAAAAAAAAAAACTCTTTGTGGAGTCATACAAACATCTTTGGTTTATATATAGCTAACTAAAAAATAAATTAGAAAAATAATGTTTCCTAAAATTAATCCTTATAATCGAAAAATTATCTATCTTAATTTTTTGCTCTCAATTTTAATGTTACAAATACTTAATTGTAAGAATATAAATATATATATATATTACAACCAATTGTAACTAAATATTTTTTACAATAAATAATCTTATAAACATAAATAATTCTATAAACAAATTATAAACAAATTTTTTCGTAAACATAAATAAAACATAACATACTAATTTATTCGAGATGACTTATTTATTAAATAATCTCTAAAATTTTATTTAAAATCATTTATTTAATTTAACAAACGAAAAAAAAAAATTTAACTTATTCACAATATTCATCGAAGACCTGTTATTTAAATCCAACTCCTGAAGTCACTGGAATTAAGATGTTTATGCAATATTATATCTTTCAAATTAATCTACGTGATAATTAATGTTTTACTATTTTACTAGCTAATTGGAGCACAGTAATTGACAGGGCAATCCTGTTTGTTGCATATATACAAGATCGAAAACCAGACTGATTTTAAATGAAAACATGCCCCAAAAATAATTTTCTTCTCATCCATTTAAAACCAAACAAAATTTTGAACAATTATTGGATGTGTTATTCATCCAACTAATCATCATCAGTTAGTTGATTTATATCAGAAAGAAGTGCTTTTTCTAGAGCAATTAATTACAATTCTTCTTAGTGGATTCGCCTATCATAACTTGTACAATGTTTGTTTGACTGTTTAGCATCCTTGAATCTGTGTTTTGTTTCATCTCTCCAAGATCTTTAATTTTACCCCAAAAAACAATATATAAAAAGCATCAACCAAGCTGAAAGGTAAATAAAAAAAAAACAGTTATCAAAGAAAAAGGAAGCGTAATCAAAAGAACAAATAAAAGAAAATTTATCTCCTCCACCGGTAATGAAATTCAAAATTACAACAAAAGATTAAAAAATTATCACATATCTTATTAGGATATATTTAAGAAATCAATAAATTTTTTTTAAAAAGTAATAGTACATATAACAATGTTCTAACACCGCTTGCGAATTTAAAAACAAATTTCACCAATGGTGTATAGAAAACGAAATTCCAACGAAAATGACAGTCACTGGATATCAATTTAATTTTCTTTCTTTCTCCCAAGAAAAGAAGGGAGAGATATAGCTAGATGTACCCTCTTATAATTGTTTCCTAATGTAGGAATATAGCAGCAAAGACAGCCACAAGAACAGTGCATAGAGGACGAAAAATTGCAGAATAGAGTGGACCTCTTTAGGAATGCGCCAAGCTTGAACATGGAAGGAGGCCGCCAATACAATTCCCTATAATATGAAATTAAAAGATTTTCAAGTCATTAATATGATCCTGGCAATGGTCTGAAGTTAATCACATGATATAGAAATGACTGCTGACCGTGTATAAACAGGACGCAAGTTCTTCAGACTCCAAAGCTTCAAGTTCTCTCTCTCTTTCTACTGAACTACAATTATTCCCGACTGTAATGTCGCCAAGAAACACATCCAAGACGATGAATATAAACTATCCGGACAAGTTGCTGAACTTGGGACCTGTAATTCAGAAATTTGAAGAGAATCTAGCCGTGATCAACATGTTTAAATGTAGCATATGGAACATTATGCACTTGTGCAGAGTATATACCTGCAATACTGCCCAAAGTGACCATAAAAGGCTGATTTGAAACAGAAGTAAACAGCCCAGCAACCAATAATTTTCACCTTCCGAGGCTCAAGAAAGTCTTTGATGGTACTATTTCTGTGTTTAGTAGCTTTAGACCTTTAAGCAAAGTCATGGAAATGGCTCCAGCAACACGTCTTACGGTTCCTAGAAATTGGCAAAAATTTTTAAGCTTTTAATATTAATTCTCTCTGGCCTAAGAGAGTCCACAGAGAGTTTAAACAAAATATTGAAGCCTTAAGAACTCCACAAATTACATACATCTCTTTCGCATTACAATGACGGATGAGAATTTTTTTCAGAAGATGTCCATTTATAATATATATATATATATATATATATATATATAACTATCAATAGCTTTATTAATTTTACCATGGAAAATGTGTTCAGAGAAATTTTGTGGAGTGTGTAAGGAAAATTTTTCTTCAAATTTTCTTGTTTTTCAATTTTTGGGGTGTCCATAAACACCTTTGCTAAAAAGATGGATCTTCCCCTGATTGCAGAAACAAACAATATATGCGGGGTTTAGTCAGTTTTAAAGTATCTAAAGTACATGTATATCCTAGGTATCGGAAGAATCGATGATTCCATGCCTGCTTTGGCCATGGTTGGATCATCATTCTGCTTTGCATGAGTTAATTCTTCTAAAGGGGGTGAGCCCCAGGGTCGTAGTGTTATATAAGCAGGGTCTGGCAACCTTCTTGTTCATTGCATCAAGAACTTTTGGCTCAAGGAGGTAACTAGAGTTCCTCCTCTCCCTCTACATATTTTTCCTCCTCTCATTCTTTCTCACTTTTGTTGGCAGGGAAAATTCATCGACATCCTCTTTGTGATTGAAGACCTTAGGTGGGATTTTCTTGCACAACAAACTATTCTTTTTTTTTTTTTAAATCAAAGACAGAATACATCCCTTGTTAAAACCATCACAATTTTACAAGCATGGAATCCAATATAACTAATACTCGCGTAATTCTTTCATGTGGGAGATCCTACGAGAAGGGCCTTAATAGCCTTGAGGTTCTCAGTGTTATACGATGACAAAAGTTGAGGAACAAAAGTTGAACAACAAATCAAGCTAGAAGCCACATAAATAAGGTTGACCAAAGTGTCAGGGAGAATGAAGCTACGGCATAACTCCATAGCATAATCACCGAACTTTCACCCTGACCAAGCTGAAAAAACTGTGTTATTGTACCTGCAACCAAAGTTTATTAGATCAGTACTTAGCATGCGAAAAAACAATTAATGAAAATGTCATGCACTAAAATTTCCCAGATGTCATAGTATTGTCGATGCTTGAGAGAGCATTAAACTCAATTACTTTATAAAGTTTTTTTTCTTTTTTTGGTATAAAAGAGGCTGTAGACTGATAATAGAGGGAAGGTTGCGGGTACTAAAATTTGAACTCTAGATCTGTCAAATGCTACCTTTTAAGGGTAACTACATAAACCAACTGAGCTAAGCTTAGGATTTTATTGCTGTATAAAGTGGTTCGATGTTTAAAATCAAGATATTTATGTTAGGCAGAAATAGCGCGACTTTGAGATTGGATAGGAAATCATGAGATCATGCAAAAACTTTTAAACTGTGAAATTGTAAACATTAGAGTACATGGATTGTCATACCTACAGCAGTTGCAGGTGGAACAGCATGCTGAAGCATAAGAACAAACTGATACAAGGAATCTGGGCCAACCATTCCAAAATGATGTGCAGCTTTTACAACAAATATCCCCAAGAGAGGCAAGAGTATGTTTCTCACTACTATAATCCCTATAATGACAAATAGGCTTACTTCTGATCCATTTAAACCTGTAATCAACAAGTTCTTGAAATGAAAATGTCGTTTTCAACAATTCAAGGGGGGAATTAGGCTCACTAACTTAAAGCAAACATGCTAAAAATTTTCAAAATTGAAAACCTTTCCGAAGGTTGGCCCCTAGTATCAATGTCAAACATGGGATAGCTGCCTCCCTGCATATCAGAAAACAGAAAGTACTTCTTCCTTGAGACATTTATCGGAAGCTAATTGCAGGATGTCTATAATGAAACATATCATACCCTAACAAATATGCAGAAGTGTCAATTACATGAAGGGGAGCGCTATCACCAATGATTAGTTTTCGGATTGGAGAGACTATCCCAATGATGAACCCGACAATCTGAAGGCGAAAGGAATAATTAAATAGGTTGAACTTTAGGAGACACGTTTTCTGCTAGGTACTGACTCAGTAACACGGATGTGGTAATTGCTGTAAAATGAAAACACAAAGAGATGCAACAGAGGTAAGCAGTTGGGCATACCGCAGCAATTGCTGTAGGTGCAAACACCTTCTTCAGGTCAATCTTCCCCATAATCATCTTAATGTGCTGAATTGTCTTCTTCAAAACAGGCATCTATTCAAAAAAATCTTTATTACAAATACCATCTGTTATCAAAAAGAAAATCCCAAGTAAAAATAGCATCAAAATGGAGCTCGATAAAGTGATAAACCTTTGTTCCACCCCTATAGATGGTAATAGGCAGTTCATCTTGTTCTGAATAACCTTCAGAACTAAGGCAAACATTGCTTGAAGGTAGTAGAGCTTCTGTACAACTCTCAGAAACTGTTTTAGAGGTGTCTCTGGGAGAATTGAGGCTTATGGTGGAGACATTTTCCGCTCCACTTTGTGCATACATGCGCATTATGGTGTACACATACGACCATATGAAAATGGCTCCTATCTGTAGATTCAAAACATAGAACAACAGAAAAGAAATTGAAATTAATGGTATAAACACTTTGATATCTATTTTCATTACCTGTATATTACATAAATCATACCGCCATAGATAGTGAAGCATAAGCCTCAGCATGTGTAGAGCAAAGAGATGAATCTCCGAATGGATTATTTGATTCCTTGCAGACTGCTGGAATCACAATAAGAAGCAAATTTCCCATATTTCCTGTACACGTTTCCAAAAGAACCAAAAAGAATTGTTGAATACAAGAAAAAGATGGGGTTTCACGGTCATTCGCAGTCATGATAAACAATGAACCTTGAAGGAAAATTACCTGCAGAACAGCAACCGATGACCATACCCTGAAGATGTTTAGGAGTTTTAGTAATTCTTATGAGAATCCAAGCCAGTACTGAGCCAATAATGAATGTTATAAAAATATTCACTGGCATGAACCACCTAGAAAGAAAAACAAGCAAACAATATGGACCAAACCCCATAAGATTTAATCGATACAGAGGCAAGTAAACAGAACAAACATTGAAAACAAGTTAAAGGAAGGAATGTAACTAACAAGGTAACAAAACTTTGGAAAGTGATAGTTTCAGCCAAGTTGCTGGCCACAAGTGAAGGACCCAACACATAGAATACAATCTGTACATGAGAAACAGATGACAGAGATACTATAGTAAATATCTTTTAATCTATATGACTTTTTGGAAGGAAACAATCATGCAGAAATTAAATCTCCGTATGGAATTGATTACATATGTCCATTTATTGCAATAATGGTGCCATGAAGCAGCATCAAAACTCTATTGACAGCATATCCAATTAAACGATTACATCATAAACCATTTGCTTACGTTGTTCAAATGGTGCCTTGCCTCTGGTCCCAATAGATTTATGCGATCCATGGCCAGCAACAAGCCAACACCAGTAATCAATATTACCTTGAGAACTGGCATTACTGCCACAGTGAACAGATCCAGAAATCTCATTTGTGAAAGCCTTTTCCTGGAAATGGAGAAGAAACTTCAATGCTTTTAGCATGAAGTATTTTCCAATTAACATATCACATTTTGCTGCTTGGAATTCACATAGAAACATAAATGAGAGAAAACTAATGCACGAACCTTTTACATGCACAATCCAAAGTTTCCCTTCTGAATTCTCCTCAAGCCAAGACTTCCTGAAACTTTTATTTCCTTAAACTGAACTTCCTGATCAATCAACTCCAAAACAATAGAAATTTTTATGGCATTTTGGTGTTTTAATCAGAAGGGAAAATTTTTACTGCACTCCCAACATACCACCAAGGTTCCAAACAGGAAGAAGAAAAATACTTTGTTAACATATGATTGATATTGATACTTATAAAACTCAAAAGCAAAAAATTAAAGAAGCCAATTTGAAGTGGTATACCCACATATCCAATACAATAACCCAACTTAGTAAACAGTCATAATGATTTGTATAGTTGATTCCATGATTGTTGCTTTAGGTTTATTAATAAAATAATCAGTGCTTGGGGCTACCCAGTTTATTTTATCTTTATGCATTTGATTCATTGAATATAGCGAAAAGATATCCCTTTGCAACTGGCAAGGTAATGAAGCTGATCATTAAGTTAGGATCCTAACTTTTTTTTATCTTTTCAACGATCTTTGGAAAAACAACAGGAAAAGTGAAAGATGGTAGGAATCTATGATTGCTTTTTTATTCTCTTTTTTGCAACGTTTTTCATATATAGTCCTTTGTTAGCAACAAATGTTGTGTTGCATACCAAAAGATTTGAAGACTAGGCTAACAACAAATTAGGTCAAATTTCTACAGCCAACAGTTTCTTTTTTTTTTTTTGAACAATCCGTAAAGTTTATGTAAGTTCTTGCCGAACAGTATATCCTGGTCCTGGAATGGGATAACCTTCCCTCACCTAAACTTTTTAAGCACCCAAAAAAATAAAGAACATCCATCATCAATCAATTAAAACTTGGGTAATGATAACAGCAGACAGTTTGATTACCCATGAATGACAGCTAACAAATTATGAATTTATAGAGATATATTTCTTATGAGTAATCAGACTATCAGACATTTTAACATAATCTCTCTATAAACTTAGATTTAGAACTTCTAGACCTGTATGAAATGAAAAAGGTCCAAGATAACATTTGCCTGAATCCATCGATGAATCCAGGAGCTAGCTATATTTGAAAAAACAGTGCCAACATGACTCAATTTTCACATATGAAATAAGTATAAATTTTTATAAAGCTTTGTCCAAAGAAATTATTACGAGACAAAATAAGGGCAGAAGTCTGGCAGATTGAGAGCAATCATTAAACTCAATCCTCCAATCAAGTTATCCTCGAGGTGTTCCTATAAATCTTTTTTTACTGTAGAAAGCTAGCTTTTTCCGAATTAAATTGTTGGGAGAAATGATAGAGTGTATGTAATATCACAGCCCAAATGATAATTAAATTAGACTATTATTAAACTTCATTAGTTTAATTAAGAGGTTAATTGTTAAAAAAAAAGTAGTTAAAGTGTTTTACACGAGAAAACCTAGCTATCGTAAAACAGAAAGAAAAACAGAGCTCTTTTTTCATCTTTCTTAGGGTTAGAAAGCATGAAAAATCAAATTAGAGATGCGAAATCAGAGGATACAATTAGGGTAATCTAATAAAAGTGAGTATATGCCATCTTATTATTTAAGAAAAATATTATGTTAGTTGCTATTATTTAGAGTTAAAGTTATGAGAGAAAAATAAAAAAAAAAATTACGAAACATTTCATTAATCTTCATTATTTATTTAGGTAAATTATTGATCTTTGTTTACTTCATGTTATTAAGATTTAATGATGATTATTGAGTGGATTTTAAAGGTTGAAAGTAGAGATTTGGGTTTCTTTTTAAAAAATTGATGGAGAAATTCTGTTTTTAGATAAGATTTTAGTATCTATAATAGTGAATTAAAATGGAATTATGTATTAATGGATAGATTATTACTATAGGTATGGAAATCTTGTTGAATGTACTTTCTAATGAAACAAACAGTAGTTGAATCTGAGTTTTCTATGAATAGTTGTCTAATTTTTACTTAAGGATGTATAGGCTGCCTTGTAGCAGTAGCAAGAGGAATTTCAAAATTTCTCTTAATTTTTATACAATGAATTACAAATTAAGCCATACATATTTGAAAAGGTTATTGAGTCTACTTTCCAACGAAACATGCAAAATTGAATTTGAAGTTTCCTATGAATAAATATGTATTTCTTATTAGAATGGATACATGCTATCTGGTAGTGGCATATGATGTGAATTTCAAAAATTATTACAATTAATCTATAAGGAATTAAGAGGTGGCCATATATGGTTAGAAAGCTTATCGAGTCTAGTTTCTAACACATTAAAGAGATCTTAATTCCAAGTTCGATGCTTGAGATATGGTTGTTTTACATTATGTTTAGATTGAGGGTAGGAGAAGGAAAGGAAAGAAAAATAAAGGAAAGTAATAGAAATAGAAAAACCTTTCAATTGTTTGGATAAACTTTTAATTTAAAGGAAAGGAAAGAGGTGAAACCTCAATAACCTTTGGTTTCCTTTATAATCCTCATTTTTTTTATACCTCAATTTGGGGGAAAAACTAAGGAAAGGAAAGTTAAAAAAAAATTTATTTTTATAAAAAGATTATTATATCCATTTTTTATTATGACATTAGATTTGATTATATAGCTAATACTTCCTACAAAAATAGTTTCCTTTTACGAGTATTTTAAGGTTGAATTAAACACAAAATTAAGAGTAAATCAATAATTAGCAATATATCTTACCGTATTAAACATGCTCAATTTTGTTTAAAAAGATTTGTTTATACAAGTTAGGTAGTATAAAAATATATTTGTATATTATATGTTATTTATAAAAAAGGGGAGTTATAATTAGAAAAAATATTATAATGAATTATTTCTTTCCTTTTTCACTATTTATCCAAACAATGGTAGTTAGAATTTCTTTCTTTTCTTTTAATTTTAACTATCTAAATAAGGGGTACATGTATCATTTCCTTTCCTTTAAAAAACTTTTCTTTCCTTTCTTTTCCTTTTGTTCTCTTTCATTTATTAATATCTATCTAAACATAGCGTTAGTGAAAAGAGCTTAGGCTATCAATATTAATTAGTTAACCCTTGTCTAGCTTAGTTGTTTTTAGCATAAATGTCTCAAAAAGAGTTGATTAATTTCTGTTATATTGAAATGATCTTGAATAGGCTATTAATATTTTTTTAGAAAAAAATTAAGTGGTGGAATCGAAAAAAGATAAGTAAAATCTCACATACTTTGCTTGTTTTCAAACCTATGTATATATGTATGCTTTTAAAAGAGTAAATGTTTTATTTCTTTATTTTTGATATATGAAAATAGGATCAAGCATGCGATTATTTTGTGTTTTGCTATGTAAATAACAGATCATGCTTATGAATGGAATGAGAAAATGATTTACATTTAAAGAATGATTTTATGATAGTTACATTTTTACGTACCTAGGAAGTGGGATCATTGATACTAAAACTAATTCTATGACAGTTAGCATAGCCATGATCATACGGCCCTACTAATAGATTGTAGTAGTTAGCATAAAACCGTTACTAGTGAGTTATAATAGTTAGCAATGATCATGAGAATGAAATTGTCGATACTGTCGATGTCATGGGTTACAGTAGTGATCGTAGCTAATGATAATAATTTATGATGATTTTAAATATTGATCCATGATTTGTTTTGATTATGATATTTGAATGGCAGTATCTTTTGCAATTATTTATGAATTAACATGTTTTTATATTGATTTATGATTTACGAAATGTTTGACAAAATAGTGATTTTTGAAACGTTTTGACATTATGGTTTGATGAATATTTTGAATGATCTATATGATATGTATGAAAGTGATACCTAATTCGGTATAGTGTGTGAGCTTATATTTGCTAAGCTGTGGTTTGCTCATTCCTTTTTTTACCTTTTTTTTTTACATATGAGTAAGTGGTAAGTTTTCTTAGTCTTGTGAGAAGCTAGAAAATCAAAATGGAAAAGATTACTTAGTCGTTGGAGACAATGTTAGCTAATGAGATCTTATGAGATAATTTTGTATTTTTATTGATTTGTATTTGGATATAAAGAGATTTATCATCAGTTATTAAAGAATTTTAGAATGGTTAAAAAGAAAACTTTCATATTACTTTGAGGTTTTACTTCAAAGTAATATGGTCGTGTTGTGTTTCAGTATCTGGGTATAATACAAAGTGGTATCAGAGCTTAGTTAAAGAATTTCTATGAGTTAGATTATGATCTTTAGAATATGATGAGATTTTGAAAAAGCTTAAGTTATGATTTTTGAAAATTTTCTACGAGTTCAGGTTATAATCTTTAAACTATGTGGGATGTTTAAGAGCTTATTTATGATTTTGGAGATTTTTTAAGAATTTAGATTATGATCTTTGGAGATTTCTTAAAAGGTTAAATTATGATAAATAGATTAACAGTGATTTTTTAACGTAGTTTATGATCCTTAGGTTCAAACAAACATTCTTTTAGCATAGTTATGATCCATATACTATGTCAAAATTTTTAAGAACTTAGATGATAACCTTTGGATAATGTGATGATTTTTCAAGGACATAAGTTTGATCCATAGACTATAGTGACAAGTATAAGTAAATGATTCAATAAATTTAGAGAAGTGAGGAATCAATGATTCAATGGATTTTTAGAATAATTATTTTGGTTAATAATTACATATTGCTTTTAAGATCTTGTAGTTATGAGAAAGTCTAATTACTTTGATATGGTGCAATTTTATAAATTGAAGAGATTTTCGATGCGACTTATAATGAAACATATTTTACGAGTTAAAATGATTATCAAAGAGAATGATTTGGTTATTGAAGATTCTATCGGTTAAGAAAAGACATTTGATTTAACAAGATTTCGAAGTTATTTGTTGAGTGTTACCTAAACCTTTAGTCATGGATTAAGATTGGAATAAGAATGTACATTGTTAAAATTAAAAGTATAGAATATTGGAGTTAGAATGAAATGATATTTTAAAGTTTTGAAGTAATTATTTATGGATTATAATGTTTGAGAATTTGTTTTGATAGATTTAGTCCAAAATATTATAATTATGGTAAATAGTTTTATATACATAAAGAATAATGTTCACTTGATTTGGTTTTATATTTTTATTAAGAAAGTATTTAAGGTTTTCATCATACGAGTTGGACGTTTGTATATTTAATTAGAAGTTTGATCATTAAATTTCTAGTTGGGGTGTACTGATTTTTTTTAATAGCTAAAGTGATTAATTTGT